TGAGATTGATTAATTTTTACCTAATATTTCTATATCCATTGGTGATATTCAATGGGTATCTAAAGAATAAAAAATTATCTTTTTTACTTAGAAAACTGGTTTAAATTACACCATCAAAACTAGTTTAGACTAAAATCAATTTTACCTATAAACCAGTTTCATACCAAGATGAGCTACAATCCATAGTCTCTTGATTATATTCATTCCTCGGAAGCTGATGCAACCTAATTCAGACAATCCCGCATGATCTCTCCAAGTTTTGAACAAGCATCCAAACATAGTTGCATTGCCTGCAAAAGTTAAAAATTGTTTGGTAACTTGTCTACACACTCCCATGATCCAGCTAGTTCCTAATTTTAGTGCTAATATGTTGACCACAATAAACCCTTTTGTGATTTCATAATGAGAAGGCATGCAAGTCATCATAAAGCTTTTATCTTCACAACCCTCCTCTGTTGTAACTGGGTCTGTAACATCCGCGAACCAATTTTTGATGTTTTGGTTCGGTGTCGATCGACACTCGTGTAAATTGAACCGGGTTGGTTCAATTTTGTCGTCGGTTTGGTTCGGTTTAGGGCGAAAACCCTAGTGCTTAGGAATTTAAGAGCTGCAGCCGCTGGGGGGGGGGTGCTGTTTTGGGCAGAAAAGAGAGGTTTGAGAGAGTTGAGAGAGATTTGGGAGGAATAAAAGGATTTTGATTGTTTCCTTCGTTTTTCTCGATCTTTGAGGCTTGTTTTCGTGAGTTGTGGGCTGTAGGATCGTGTTGGATCCGTGGAATTCGTGGGGAGGAGGAGGATTTCAGATTTGGTGGATTCGCGTTCTTCGTGTTCTTCGTTGATTTTGATACGTTTTTCTTCCCGAATTGAGGTGAGTGCGTGACCATATGCTTATTTGGGTAAAGGAATTGATAGGATGCGATTGTTGTGTTGTTTGGGTTAGATTTCGTGTTGTTTTTGGTGGATTTTGGTGCAGAAAATCGATTTGTCGAGTTTTCTGGGTTTCTGTATTCTGCGTCGGGTGACGAGCGACACTGGCGTGTAGCGTCGATCGTTACTGTCAGTTTGACGAATTGATTGTGCTGTTTTTTCGCGTTGGGTTGTTGTGTGATGCATTGTTGATTGTTCATCCTGGT